TAATTTTAAAAGTGCATCCAAATAGTGTTAACAATAAAAATGAACTTTTTTTTTTTTTTTAAAGTAATTGTTGATAGAAGAAAAATTTAAGGGCACCCAGAACCAGTCCTATATTTCCAAACTAGGGGCCTGGCACCCAGACCCCAGGCAGGCTCAACAGATGTTTGTTGAATGAATAAACGAACGAATGAAGTGATTTTCTCAAAAAAGTTCAGCGAAATCGTTACTTTCAGCCTGGTGGTTTAAAGAAAAGAAGGAAAGAAAAGAAAAACTTCGGGATTATTGCTTTACGCATTTGAAAGGAAAATCTGCAAAGTTGATTTTAGTTTTCTGAAGAAACTCTCAACCAAAAGCGGTCTGAAATGGAATGTTCATTTTTCTCTTCCTTCTAATACAGTGTCTGAATAACGCAGGCAATTCAACTCCATGACTGAAAAGCAAGGGGACCCGCATCTTCCGCAAGTCCCTCGGGCCATGGATCCCATGGATCCAGCTCTGAGCTGGGTAGGTTAAGGGCGCGGGACTCGAGGACACCAGGACCGGGCGATGCGCCTGCCGCTTGCACAGCCCCTAGGTCCTCATCCTTGCGTCTCGCCCAGGCGCCGACTTCGGGGCTGAAGGGACACAGGGGCCGGCCGGTCCCCAGGGCGGGTGCGAGGGCCCCGCGCAGGTGTCGGGCCTGTGCGCCGGGGATGCTCGGGTCTGGGAGACCCGAGGGGGACGTTATTGTTACACTGTAACGAGTCTGATTAACATGCTCCTGACACTTTCTCTTAGTTTCTTGGGCTCCTAGCAACAGTGCACAAAGGCGCAGGATTGTCCCGGGCTCCGCGGGGACACGGGGCAGCCTTTGATCTGCCACCATTACAGCGGGGCTGCGCGACAGGCTCGCAGGCTCCGGGCGGCTCGCGGCGGGCGGGCGGGTGGGCGAGCGGGGCCGCAGCCCCGGCCACCGGGCTCCCCCGGCCCGCCCCGCCCGACGCCCCGACGGTCGCTGCGCCCCGAGCGACCACCGAGGGCGGTGCCTGCCGGCTGCTGCTCTCCGCGTCCGTGCGCCCGACCGCGGCCTCGGGGAGCGCAGCGGCGCTGGACGCGGACTCGGCGTGTCCCGGCCCCGCGGGCGCCCGTCTTCCGGCCGGGCTCGCCGGGTCCTTCCCGTCGGAAGCAGCAGCCACAGTAGAACTTTCAGTGGAAAAAAACAAAAACTTAAAAAAAAAAAAAAATGTAAGGGCGCGAGCGACAAATTCAAAAAGATTTTGTAACAAAAAATCTACTGGCTTCAGCCCCATGAGACGAAACTGGGTTCGATCGGCAGCAAACAACGACCACAAAAGGCGCTAACGATGATTTCGGTTCCTCCCTACACAGCCCTCTCTTCATGTCCTTGGCAATTCTTCCTGATTCGGAAGGAAATGTGCTGCCAAATAATTGCTGGGATGTAAACAAACTTCCAACAACAACAAAAACCACCCGTCACAAAACAGCACAAAGCTACCTGGTCCCACCGCGCAAGATTTCAGGTACTAAGTTAGGTATTTGAAAGTAATTTATTACCGTTGTGTTCGTTTTCTTAGACTCCCATACTCACCCCGATTTAAAATCATGCGCGGAAGGAATGACTAAGATTTTAACATTTAAATATTGAGGTCAACTAATTACTTTCCCCTAAGTTGCATGTGAAAACCTCGCAGGGGGAAGGTCTCTGGGCTGGGAGGACAGTGTCCCCGAGCCTGGGGCCCAAGTTCCGCAGTTACAGACCGGCTTGGCGATCCTCTCCAGTATTAAATTAATATGCACGAGACGCTGCTGATAATCATAACCTCTTTTGTACCATCGATCTAGTACTTGTTTTCCGAGTACTAGAGGCAAAAATAAAAACGCAAGACACTTAGCTTGCCAAGATAAATAGAAACCATAAAAGCAGAATGTTCTTCAAATAAAAAAAAAGCGTGTATTCTTTTTCTCACTTTTTAGGATATTGCTAGAAATTCAACGTCCCCAAATGAAAGTCCGCTTGCCGTACTCCAGCAAAACTGTTGGGGGCAAAGGTGTTAATGATAATAATTTCACGTATCTTTTAGTAAAGGGGGGGGGGGGACAAACCCCACAAGGACTTTTCCATTTGCCCAGCAAAATATGCCAGGCAATGAGTTACTTTCAAATTCAAATCGGAGGCTTGAAGTCCTTCGTTCTTGGGGGACACTTTTCCCACCTTGTCCCGGGAGAAGGCAGAAGGGCAGCCAGGGGTTGAACGCTTGGAAATCTGAAGGGACCAACTCCCAGATGCCCGGGAACTTCCCAACTTGGGTTCCAGGATAGTGCCTGACTCCACTGGAGTTTCCCTCGCCATTTCAATAAAACATGATTGTATTGATATAATCCTCTATACATTAAAATGAGGTTGTCACAGATTGTCATTAAGACCTCAGTGAAACAATGAAGACATTATTGGGCACCCCCTCCCTCAGGCAAGGTATTAGGGGAATAAAACAATCTACACCACACGGGGCCTATTGAGATTAATGAAAAAATTATGCAAAAAAAGTCTCAATTTCATTTTCCCGTGACAGGGCTTTGCACACATACAGTCAGTCTTGCTTTTCACCTGATGATTTATTAAACTAATCTATGGTGATCACCACTGATGTTCTCAACCCAATCTTGTCCAGGCTCATTTTCTAAGTAATTGTTTCTCATTAGTTCTGATAATGTTTTAATAGTGTTGCTCATAATTTAGGCCTCAAGAATTAATAACGGGGGGTGGTGGTGATACGGCAAAGCAGCTTGTGATGAGGTACACAAAATATAAACAGGTATGTTTTTTAATTAATCAGGTTAGTGCAAAGTCCTCTTTTTGTGGTCCATTCCTAGTTCAGGAATTCCCCAGGTTGCGCATTGCCATCATGTCAGGGGGGATCAGTTCACCCAGTTCCTCCCTCCCTCCCTGTGATACCTGTACCTCACCCCCCAAAGAGAGCCAGGTGGGAAAACAGTGGTCAGTGGAGCAGCAGCCTTGTCTCCCAGTATTTCCTTGTCCTAGAGTTTTATTCTTCAAGGAATGAGGCACAACGGGTCTATGACTCCGACTACACTCTTCCAGGGCCCTTACTAGAGTCTCTGCTCAGAGTGGCACTTGGTCCAGATTTTTGGCTCTAGCCACGCAGTGGTTTTCAACCTGTGGGTCGCAACCCCTTTGGGGGTCGAAGGTCCTTTCACAGGGGTCGTCTAAGACATAACAGTCGCAAAATTACAGTTATAAAGTAGCAACGAAAATAATTTTATGGTTGGGGGGTCATCACAACATGAGGAACTGTATTAAAGGGTCACGGCATTAGGAAGGTTGAGAACCACTGCTAGTGGGACCCTCTCACGATTCTACCATAATCAGGACCAGGGGGTTATGAGGCAGATGATAAATCTGACGCTTGGGGAGACTTACACAGCAAGGTGGCTTTGTTTAAACAAAGTGCAGTTTGAGATAAAGGGTGTGGTGACTGGTCCAACATGGCTGGGGACCTAGAAACCCACTGGCTTGTTGGTGATGGGGGTGAAGACCTTGCTGAGGGGACTGCTTTCTCCAAGGTCCAAATGCCTTCACCCCCCGATCTGAGGTTCCCTCACTGGAAGGGCTTGGCTCTCTGTGAGCTCCTAGGTTGAGGAGCCCCACCCCCTGTAGGGTTGGGGGTGCCTGTGTAACTGGGGTGGAGACTAGAACGCCTTGCCCTTCCATCCTCTTAGAGCCTGGAGGGGTTATCTGGACCCACACAGAGGATGGGAAGAGCAGTTGGGCCGAAGTGGAGGTTGCGTGTGGGGAAGTATGAAGGTTTTTAGTTTCCTCTTTTGCTTAAGACTGGCCCTGCCTGCCTTGGCCAGTTTGGCTTGGCGGTTGAGCGTCAGCCTGTGGACCAGACAGTCCCTGGACCAGACAGTCCCTGGGTGGTTCAGTTCCTGCTAGGGGCACGTACCACGAAAAAAAAAAAAAAAAAGACTGCCCCGCCTACACTTTTAGCACTCGAGAGGGGCGTGTGTGCGTGTATATGCAGGTCAGAAGGAGAGGATACCTTTGCCTTCTGAGTAGTCCTGTGTCTGTGTTCTGAGCAGAGGGACTGCGTGAACACCTGGAGTCCTGGATTACCCTTGTGCACACCTGGATGCCAGCACAGGTGGGCACAGCTGCGACGAGATGGCGTGGGGGCTGCTTCTGTCACTGCTGCCCACTGCTCTCATTCGCATCCCTGAAGCCCAGTGTGGCAGGAGGCCAGTATCTTGAAAGTTGGCTGAGATGCCATTTTTCTCCTTGTAGTCCCTTTGCGTGAGGGTGGGGCTAGCTCCCACCTTCCTTTCCTGCGAACATGAAGCAACACAGAGCGACCAAGGTGAAGGGTGACAGTGCTCTCATGGGTGGTTGCAGGGGGTGTACAAGGAGGGGATATGCACCGCCCAAGGCAGGCCAGGACCACCGGGCACATCCCTTCTCAGTTTAAGAGCTGTCCCCAAGGGTCCCATGCTTGGAAATATTCATAGGTGTCTCAAGAATGTGTTTCTACAGAACCGTCCTGCCTGGATCAGGTTCCTCTGGTGTCCCCATCAAAATTAGTTTGCCCCCTTCCTGCCGAGCATTGAGTGGGTGGGTGTTGCACGAGGGCCTGTGGGCCTCTCCGCTTTGCTTTGGTGCCATGGTGCTTTCCTTCTATATTACCTTTAACTCTACTCCCCTCTGGGCTTCCTGTGGGAATAGAAGAGGTAGGGGAAAAGCGGACCCCTGGTTGGGGAACACAGTAGGGGCCACATAGGAAATAAACAAAAAGGGCAGAGGAGGAGGTGAAAAATGAAAATAAAAAACAACTGTTTTCTATTTACAGATTTAAATAAACAGAACAGCCTTCCCCGCAGTGTTTGTCTAAGAGCGGCAGCCTTGCTGCTGTGTAGGTCATGAAAAGGTTGGTGTAGAGTTTAAAACTTCCCATTCTGTTAATTTCTTAAAGAATAGTCGTCCAGAGTCTCAACACAAAAGCTCATGATTTAATGAGGAGCAGAAACAAAATCTCTGATTGTTGGTGTTTCAAATTTCATTGGCGTCCTCTGGCAAACACAAGTTGATCCTTCGCAGCTTCAATACCCTTTAGCCTTCAATATAAGAGCACATGCTGAATAGGAAAGAATGGCTGGTTGTTATGTTTATTTACCCTTCCTACAAGCTGGGTTAACCTCTTCAAAACAGCTTTACTAAGCCCGTTAACCACACCACCCATATGACCTGCAGCAGCATCTCTAATGTGATGCAAATCTCACAGGGGACCATATGCACCAGCTCCGCCGCATTGTGTCTTCTCAGAGGCTACAAGTTTATTGCTGAGGGGGCCCTGTCCCGGCCATACATTTACAGGGGAAATGGCCTCAATGGCAAACAGTTAAATGGGGAAATAAAGGGGGAGAATGGACGGTTCTGTGTTTCTGCGAATTTATTTTTTAATTGCTGGTTAACTGTTGGCCCAAAGCATTCGCCCAGGATGCCGGCTTTCCGTCATCACCGAGCAGTTCAAAGATTGTGGATGTTTCATTGGGGGCAGGGGGATGGGGTGGAGTTTAACAGTAATCAGTTTTGAAAATTTATTTTTAGAGATATCTATATAAACCAATACGACAGTCAACTTTTCTATGCCATCTCTGTTGTTTTTATCACATTTCTAGTGAAATAAACACAACCCTTTCATTTAGTTATAATTTTTTTTAAAGCCTGACCTTTCTTAAAATTATGTAGGGGGTCAAGTGAACCAATGAACCTTATGGGAAACATCTAACATGAGAAAGGAGAAGGGAGTGCATGTACTTGGGAAAGACCTGTCTCATTATGACCTAACTTCCTCTCACAGCCCATCTATCCCTACTATTTTACCTCCCTGTGAAATAATAAGTCCATATCTATGACACATTAATGGACAATAAAATCATACGCTTGGAACCAAAATGAAGAACGTTCATTTTTAGAGGAATAACTGGCCAGTGAGATAACCACCACCACAAAAAAATGTGATTAACATGAACTGTAGATGGAGAAAGGTTCCAATCTGGCATATTAACAAGTTGCCTGAGTATTATGGTCTGTCTTTAAGAAACCCACTGTGTATGTTCAGCCCACCTGATGAGAGCTTGATCTAACAGATCACTTTTTCTTGATGGATGTGGCAAGCGTAACAATGTTCTGGGCTTGCTTCAGTAGCGGCATGTCGATCATGCTCCCTTGGAAAGTAAAGGCTCCCTGGAAAACAGAGAATACAAACTTCCTGAAAGAAAGCTTGGAAATTATAGGCTTCCTTTAGGCACACACTTGTATAACAAGAACATTTCAGATTCCACCTGAATTATACTGACTTTCCAACCCAACTTTTGAGAAAGCCAAAGTAAATTACAGGGGAATGATCTTTTTTCCTTCTAAAAAGGAAAAAAATCTTTTAGCATTTTAATGGAGTGGAAAAACATCAGACACAAGGTATTGGATACTGTTCATTTAACTCTTGAAATCAAGCAGAAAACAACTGTAGAGGGAAAATGTAAATACTTCCTTCTAGGTTTTGAAATATTGCATAGAACTTTATAAACAGTAATACACTCTGGCAAGTGATTATTGTTTGAAAAATAAATGTGTGATCAGGTTAATGGCAAAATACTTGCTTCTTGCTGTCACATAATTGAGGGGTAACACTATCATGGGATGAGAAAATGCAAGGTAGGAATGTACTGAGTGAAAAGAGATTCCTCTGTTGGTTCACACTCACAGAATAGGTTTAGACGGACAAGGGACATGAGCCATTAACAAAAAAATCATAGGTCTGTTGAATGGTGAGACTGGAAGGAATCTCTGAGATCTGGTTTATCCCCATTTTACAGATTCATTTTTTAACCTGAAAATATTTATTGAATACATCATGTGATCTAGATCCTGTTCTAGATGAAGAAACAGACCCAGAGTAAGGTGATTTTCCAAGGTCATAAGGAAAAGTTAGAGCAGGGGCTAATACTTGGATCGCAGAACTTCAAACCTTCATCGAAGATCCCCCATATTAAGATAACAAAGTAGCCCGGCCAGTGTGGCTCAGTGGTTGAACATCAAACCAGGCACCAAGTGCTCGCTGGTTCGATTCCCAGTCAGGATACATGCCTGGGTTGTGGGCCCGATCCCCAGTGGGGGGCATGCAGGAGGAAGCCAATCGATGTTCTCTCTCATTGATGTTTCTATCTCTCTCCTCTCCTTTCCTCTCTCTCTAAAAATCAATAAAGAAAAAAAAACAAAGGTAACAAAGTAGTTCCTTTAGTGCATCAGAAAAAGAAAAACATAATGGAGAGAGGGCAGTATGCCCAGAATAGAAGTTAATGTCTGGATATTTCTGCTCTTTCAATTACTTCTTGTTGCTATTTGCAATCACAGATCTTCATCTTAATTCTCCTTCCCTCTACCTGTTGGCAAGGATGCTGGTTTGAGTGGAAAGCAGGTGGTCTTTTGAGATCTGGAGGTGGATTGAAACCAAGTAATCCTAGCTGGTGGTCTATTTGCATATATTGCCATCTACCTGTGGATTTCACAAACACTCCCTGTCAACAGCCAGTGCCGTCATTATTCAGAACTCCCTGGAGGGAACTCCTGGGCTCTCTGGAAACCCTCATCTCCCACAATAGCATAGAGTTCTACATAGGACGGAGGTAAAACAAAAACAAAAAATTGGTGGGGAATCCTTAGCAATTACTTCAGAGTTTATCTTTGAATCACTAGAGATTTAAAAGCAACTAGGATAAGAATTTTTACCAGGACAGTCATGCACCACAAACAACTTTTTGTCAATGATCAAGACCACATATATGACAGTGGTCCTGTGAGATTATAATGAAGCTGAATAATTTCTATCACCTAGTAATGTTGTAGCCATTGTAATATCATAATGCAACACATTACAGTTGCCCACAGTATGCAGTACAATAACATGCCAGATTGGTTTGTTGCCTAGGGACATTAGGCTATACCATAATAGCCTAGGTGTGTAGGAGTTGTGTGTAAGTACACTCTGATATTTGCACAATGATGAAATAGCCAGTGGCGTATTTCTTAGAAAGTACCCCTGTAGTTAAGTGACACCCGATTATATTGCTTAACCTCCCCAGCCTTGGAATGATAAATCTGATTCACATGAACACCTGTGTGGACTGAAATCCTGTACTCCAAGTCATGTCCGACCCTCTTATTTTTACCATTTATACTCCCAGATTGGCCTGTGACTAATTTCATTCAGCCTAGAACTAATTTTGGTCATTTCTGTGACTATGATGAATTTTACGAATTTGGTAGAAGTTCCAAGGATGTTAAATGGGTTAGCATGACATGTGAAATCAGGGTGTGGGACTCCTGCTGTTTTACAAGGCAATAGTCTAGTTTCCTTATTGGAGTATATGATGAAGACCAAAAGACTCCTGGTTGTCCGCCCACCAAGTGGATTATGGCCCTGTAAAACAGAACATCTGTCCTGCTAAGGCTTCAATAATAGGCTGGCGAGACGAAATTAGCATAGATGCACATGAAGTCAAGATGATGCACAGAGAATCAAAATGATGGCTTTGGGTCTATGCCATGCTCCCCGAATCTGCTTTGGGTTCCACATGCATATCAAAGACACAAAATATTCCATGTAGTGTTTCAAGACAGAGAGATACTCTCTTTCTTCTACTGTGGTAGATTTTGCTTAACTTCCTGTATGAAGCTTATGCTGTAAAACCAAATTCAACATTTTTGTTCTTTGTTTCCTTCATCTCTGAAAATTGAGGCTTTCAGTGTTAAGAATTAGACAGCCTAATTTGAATATCCTGCTTTCACATCCCGACCTACAATATGGGTTGGTTTTTTAACATGTGGATCTACCTGTGAAACGGGCAGGGTCTGTTGGTCAGGATTTAGACAACACAGTTTGTCAAAAGCTGCCTGGATTTGCAGGGAGGGTTTGAAACATTCCTTAATAAATGGTTACAGATAACTTTCAGTTTCACGGCCCGTGCCCTTCTGAGAAACTGGCACACACACCATTTTCAAAGCAAAGGAACTTGCATCAGTGTGAAGATTCAGACTGTAATTTGGTTTAAAATGCCTTTAAATAGTAACTCATTCATGGTTAAAAACCTTAACAACAGTGACTACAATAATAACAGCTATAATCTTTTGAGCAGTTGCTAGCCTGGCACTGGACATACTTTATTTCATGTAATGCTTGTAACCACCGTGTGAGGTAGATACTATTACTGTTCCCCATTAACAGTATTTTTTTTCTTATTTCTTTTTAATGGTGATAAAAACACATAACCCAGAATTGCCATTTCAGCCATTTGGGGTTGTACAGTTCAGTAGTGTTAAGCACATTCACATTGTTGTGTAACTGATCTCCAGAAAATTTTCATCTTCCGAAAGTAAAACTCGGTCAGTTCCTATTAAACAACTACTTCCCAGTTCCCCTCCCCTGGCCTGGCAACCACCATTCTGCTTTCTGTTTCTATGAGTTGTATTCATTCCCATTTTATAACTGAGGAAACTGAGGCACAAAGTATTTAAGGAACTTGTACCGGTCTGCCCTGTAGGTAGTAAGAACAAAAGTGGGATAAAACCTGCCTCTCTCTGATCTGAAGCATGTGTTCCTGGCTGATCCCCTGGACTTGTTGATTGAAAAGTCTTCTCTGAGTGGGTTCCCTGACCACCTGCGTCAGAATCATCCAAGGGGAGTGCTTGTTAAAATGCAGATTCTTGGGCTGGATCCTATATGCTTTGATGCAGAAGGCCAGTGGACGGGCCACGGATTCTCGGATGATTCTAATGCACGTTCAGGTTTGAGAAGCTCTGTGTTTTAGCTTCCCTGGGTAGAAATGATTAGGCTGGTGTTGGTATGGGAACAACCCCATCCCTGCCCTCAAGGAGCTCACAATTTGCTGGAGGAGACAGGGAAGAATGAAGCAGGTACAATATAATGCAAGAAGAATGAGAGGAAAAGCCAATATGATGAGCACAGAGCAATCGCAGGGTCTGAATGGCTGCCCTTTCCAATTAGGACCATCTTTGCCACTTTGCTCAGTTCACTTGGACATGATGTTGTGACCCTACAGTATGCCGTGCTTTCCCCGCTAGAGTTGCCATGGAGCTCCTTGCACAGTGTTTCATTCCACAAGTACCTACTGAGTTATTTGTTGTAAAGATGACTGGCCAGTCACTTTGGCACATCTTCCCATATGCATGCCTATGGTTTCGGTCTCAGGCTCCCAGATATGAAGGGCGCCACCACCTTAGCATGGGAAGGAAAACATTTACTATTGGGCTGTAGTTTTTCTAACACCTTGGTCATAGCCTGGTGGCACGTTAGGCACGGGAATAATGGGAACTTTATCAGACCCCGAGGTTCTTCATGGGGGTAGAATCTGCCTTATAATTTGATGGCAAAAGCACTGATGGCGGTGATGACAACAGCAATCCTACCTGTGGGAAATAATCGGATGTTTTGCATTTCCAGCACTAAGACCTTGAGATTTTTTTCCCTCTAGAGTTCTCAAAGAATAATTTTCTAGAAACCATAAGTTGATCTAATGCTTTCAAATAACTTCTTTGGCATTCAAGGAATTCTCCGGCACCTTCCAACGATGATGTTGCTGCAATGTGCCGTGAGGGGGGTTTCTCTGTCAGCATTAGTGATGGCATCTGAGCACAGTCGTTATAGTCCTTCTTTTCAGGGTGACACTCCTCCCGTGACGGAAGTCTTACACCCAACGAATTAATGACCTCACAACAGTTCCCAGGGAATTCCTAAAATGCCCAGTCAGCGTTGGCCACTGTCATGTTCTCTTCCAGATCTGGGGAGTGCCCGTGCTGCTCAGCCCTCTCCGCGGCCGTGGGCTCCTGTCATAGCCCCTCCTTGCGCAGTCACCTGCTGCTGAAGCGCGCAGTGGGTGCAGCTGATCTGGCAGACACTGTTTCCTTCTCCTTTCTTTCCAATTTTCAGCTTATCAACTTGGATAGTCCTCCGACGGGCCCGAGTATGGCCTTGTTCCCTCACAGTTTGGTTATGACTTTCCTTTTAAGGATGTATGTTTGGTTGCCTGTCACCTAAAGCCCAGTGGGGAGGCTGCCCGGCTCCAAGGCTGGTGAGCGGAGGTCTCACTGGGAAAGTGCTGGGACAGTTAGCAGGGGAGTCGCACCTTCCTAATCGGGATCATGCTGTACTTTTTCTAAAACACCAATAG